AAAAAATACGCAGTGAAATTAAAAAAATATTTAAACATCCTCAAAACCAGAATAAAATTACTGATTTTTTAAAGTAATAAACACGTACAATATGCATGAAAACTTATAGTTTAGATTTTTTGTGTTTTCAGTTATCCGTGAGCTGCTTTCTCGAAATTAGATCAGATAATCGAAAGTATACTGTTTTTCTTATTAGATTAAAAAAGTAAGTCATTTAAAAACACTTTGAATATCTTAAGAATATTTCAGGCCCACCTCTGTGATGAAAGATGCGGACCCGTGACAGTTCATCCCAGGAATTTTATTCTCGATGGCAGAACAGGTTGACTGCATGGGCCTTTCTTAGTTTTGCACATGATCACAAGCCAGTTTCTCTAAGGTTCTTATCCACGAAGATATTTCTCCTCTTAACTAGACAACAGTAGTATGGTTTACAATAAATTTTAGATACAATTTTTAGATTTATTCTATGGAAAGCGTTATTAATATGTATGTAAATTATAAAATATATAAAAAATTATTAAACTTTATTGTAAATAGACCATTTTATTCAAATATTTTAATTAAACTCATATCCTGTTTAACGGTACACTTTGCACCATTTTCTGTCACTGTGCAGCATGTTATGTCACTATTTCCCTGCAATTTATCCGCCCTGAGAAATCATTATTCCAATCACTGCTCAGGAGCGAAACAAAGATTTCTCCGGTTTGTAAATATGATCGCAGTTAGTACATAACAGTTTTTCTCGCCTACTGCTGATTGAACAGACCACGTCTCTCGCTTCGTCTTCTTTCTCTATTATTTAAAAATATGAGAGCGTATTTAAAAGTTTTGGGGGCCACATCGCCCCCAATATGCTGTGATACTCAGTATGATGTCTGAAATGAGAAATCGCCAAGTAATAAAGATATATAGTACTTATCCAAGGACTTTATGTTCTTCTAAATGTTAAGCAAGAAAATTCTTAAGCATTAAATAAGTATACTGTAGTTAAAATGAACTTATGCATGTATTCATGCATTATATATATATTCTACCAGTACTAACTAATGTGAACTAGCAGTAAGTACTAGTACTAATTATCCCTAAGATAAAAAATTACTGTTTTTGTGTAGCAAAAGAAAGTTTTCAGTATATTCGTTTATATATTGCTGGTTAAAAGGCATATTGCTTGAAAATTTAGGCATCAAAATATGTTAAAAAAAGGAAAATTCTGAATACTTCATTTGTTTTCAGGGCTTTGTACCCAGGGATAAACTTCAAGACTTCATCAGATATTGGCGATATGCTTAACAGAAGGATCACGCATTCAAAGTTTTCATGACATCTAATACGTAGTCCTCATTGTGCGTCACATCTATTACCACTTCGACTATAATCAATAAGTTGATTGGTTTCCTCTTCCGCAAAAATTACAACATCCCATACATAACTTCAATTTAATTAATAAATTATGTTTCACTAAGTCATAAATTATTAATAATTGCAGAATTTCTCTCTAACTCACGTACCTATGCGGTAAAGGTTGTGACGAAGATAAAAATGCAGTGACAAAATTCTTATAGAATATCATCTATACGTTTCTTCCTTTTTGACGTTTCTACACTTTTAGAATGATTTTCAGAATGAAAAAAGAAAGGAATATATTTTCATTGTAACTAGATTAAAATCATAACAGGATATTTTTCTTATAAGTGCATTTTATTTCTATGCAATTGGTAAAATGTTTTATTAAAAAGTTTCATTTAATGAATGGTAACACTTTCCATTTTAATTTGGCAAAGATAAAAAATTTAGCCAATAAAACAAATTATGAATGAATTAATTCATTTTATACATGAAACATCATATTGCATTTTTTTATTCTTTTCTACAGTTTAATACGACAGTAATTATTAATGAATACTTTTCTTATGAATATTCAGAGCTATCCTTTTCGAAGACTTCCCTCAATTATTCATGCACCTTAAACATATATGTTATGTTCCTTTTGATTTTTTTTAGGTGGAGTCAGATTATTTTACTTGTTTCTTCGTCTTCCTTAAAAACATTAGCTATCTGTACTTGCTCAAAAAATTCAGAGTTCCGCAAAATAAAATTAAACATTCTGTTTAATCACTAGAAATTAATAAATATTGGTTTTATTTTTCTAGCCTTTTGCGAAAATTATGGATCAACACGAGAAAAATTAATAACTTATTTATAATTATGGCATTTCAATTTTTTCAAATGAACATCATGTGTCTTTTCAAATATCTTTGTTTCACGTTTGGAAAAATTTTGCAGTGACAGCCCAAATTTTCATCAAAATGATTTTCTTCAAGCGGCAGTATACTGATAATCCAACTTTCACTGATAAAAATGCAGTGCAATATTTCGAAATAAAAGAGCAAAAAATATAAAAAATTTTTAAAGCTTTCAGATTTTATTTTAAGTCCAAATGGTCCTTTTGTATTTACAGACACCCAAAAGTTTCGACAGCATTTGCGCTAACGCCATATTGTGCTAAAATATTAAAAACAGCGTATATTTTTAAGAACATCCAATAGAATGTCTCGCGCGCTGGAGTTAAAGATGCTTTATTCCCTACAGTGTTGCCACTGCTCGCTTTGAAATTAAGTTTCTTTAATCAAAAATTTGTTTAAATTTCATTAAAGTGTTATAAAATATGAAATAGATAATAAAACAAATTCCAGATTCCAAATTCGGGCCTCCAGGTGCCCGCGTTCCGGTGGAAATATATTTTATTCGAAATTTGATGAAACTAGATACTGTTGTTTTTTTCTCAGTGCGAGAAATTTACATACATTCATGTAGATTCTTCATTATTTAGTTTCTTTCAATATAATATAGGGCGATAATATCTGGTGGCAAAGTGATTCGGGCATTTAAATTGTTTCCAAGCAAAATGACGTTTTGAGACTAATTGCCCTTCTGGAATAACTCCAATTTGGGCTAAAAAGAAAGTTTTGCTGTGAGAAATCTTGAAAATAATTTTTTTATAGTGTTACAATACCTTGTGTTGTTGTTGTGACTTGTCTGTGACAACAACACTTGTGTTGTTGTTATGACTGTCACTTGCCTGACAGTAACATCAGAACAAGCCCACAAAATTCATCGTGTCAAGGAGTGTAAGATTTCGCCTGTCGTGGGCAAGAGCCTTGAGCACCATGTAGGTGATAACACGACTTCCTTCAGTTCCGTGCCCAATTTAGTTAGAGAACACCCCGGAGCGACGGTCCAAGGGTCTTCCACATCTTTTCTACTACCACCAACCTCTGGAAAGGATTTTCGGCTCTCCATATATTTGGAGTGCCCCCATGCCGACAAGAAACTAGACATTTACCAACATACATGCCTTCTCCAGGATTCGAACCCAGGCTCTTCTGTACCCTAACAGGCTTCCCTAACAATTACATGGTCTGGACCGTTATAATACCTTGTTCCTTTCAAAATTCTGCCTGTTACTATGTATGCTCATGATAACTATTCAAAAGCAAAATTTAAATGTTTATACATTACAAATAAATTTATTGTTGTTTGGAATGTTATCCTAATTACTCCTTTCTCCTCGTTCAGTAAACAGAACAGATAGCACATCTGAAGATGTAACGAAATGACGAAATATAAAAAAGAATAGCAGCAGCAAATGACCATGTCTCCCTGTACGTCTACAAACGTCTTCTCAGTTCACTATTTTTGCATACAATTCTGATAACATTCAATAAGAAATAAACCGATAAGAGGGTATAGCAGTAAATAAGATTTAACTGAATGAAGAGCAAATTACTGGGTTGCCTACTTGTATCCGAATATTTTGCATATAGATATTAAATTTTACTTATCACAAAGTTTACATTTTTGTCTTACGTTACACACGTATGTTAATAGTTTATATATGCATGGAATTACCAACTTTATAATGTTATAAAAATTTTTGTTCTATGGTGCATTAGGGTTAAATGTTAGCCGGTTTCTTAGTAATCCCTATGCATCATATAAATAAAACAAAGAACTTAGTATTATCCATATTTCCACCAGTTATGAACGCATATTATTTCATTTTTGATGATTTAAAAAGTTTTAAACGGAAATATGGAGTTTTTTTAATTATATTAAAAAATTGCATCATTGTCTAAAATGATGAGTACAAAAATAGATATTTCTACTTTTTATGAAAAGAAACTCAGCAGTAGTTATTCAGACATAAAATGTTATTCATAAATTCTCCGCTTTAGCTATTTCGGATAAAAATTATTCGAATGAAATGCCTTTTTATGATGAGACTCTTTTTCCCCCTATACTAAGCGGCTTGTAGGCAACATTTTCAAACTATGGTAAATTTCCAAAGTATTTTCTAGTGTATGCTTATTAAAATTATTCGCATATAGTGCAGTTACGTATTTCACATCTTCTGTATTTAAGATATAGTCGCATGCATAATGAAGTACATTTTTATCTTTTCGTTTTTCAGGTTTTAGGGATTACTCTGAATAAACGAAAATCAAGAACTTACACGAGGAATAGTCGGAAATCAAGAACTATTGATACATGCACTAAAAATTTTAAAAAATAATTTGAGAATGATATCATGTTTTCGATTTATAAAATTAATATTTATTTTATTTTTATTTTTTTAAATGATACTTAATTCGAGATATCCGAAATAGGTATTAGGATAACTTAAATTAATTACTTATGATGTAGCATATGATCTATGGCTGTTATGTAGTACTGAAACCATTTTGTTTCCCCTCTGAGCATCTGGAAAATATCCCTGTCAATTCTTGTAGATGATGAAGCCCGATTATGGTTTAAGAGAAAAGACGACCTGACTCTGATTGACACATGATAAACGGTTCAGAGAGTAATTATTAAGATTGATTATAGAAATAAGGGAGAGCTCCGTAGTACAATACTTTGACCAATCACTACTCTCCACCATTCAAAAATGACAGTGACGTAATACCTGACGTCACAACGAGAGAATACGAATAGCGGAACTTCTTTATAAAACACGCATATCGTCGGAAGCTAAAGACAGTTTTCGAATATTATTTTCGAACAAAGTTCTTTATTGTGATTTGAAGTTCCTGTTTTCGAAGTATCGTAAGTTATATCTTTTATTTTATTATTTTTGGAACAGTAAAGGAATATAAATGTGAAGAGAGATGTTTCTAACAATTTTTTGCAGGGCTGTGGTTTCTCTGTCTTTGAATAATTTACAAAACATTTAAAGCAAGTATTTTTGTACTTCCTTTTACGTAGAGATTTTTGAGTTTTCTGAACCTTAGGATTCCAAATTACCTTTTCAATTCTAATACATTTCTGATTACACATAATTTTATATACATATATATATAAATTATAGAATATGATATTTATATGCTAAAATATGATAGAATAATAGATTATAAATGTTACGTAAACGCAGAAAGTCTGAGAAATTAAGATTTTTCCTTAAGTAACTGATGATTTCTTATAATAACACCGAAGTTTAATTACTAATATCTCAATAGCAAAACTAATGTTACTTGGAAACGATAGCCAATTTAAACAGTTAATTTAGGGTAGGAACTACCAAATGTTTTGAGTTTTCTGGAATTTAGATTTCTGAATTCTTTTTTGAATTTTAATTTGATTTTTCTAAAGAAACTTAAGAAATACACTATTATTCTATAGTTAAGAAAAACAGAAGTACCAGGAAATAATATGAAATCGAAAATCCATCCGAGCTCTAAATACTTCACTTCTACAAAACAAAACAATTTAATAATTATTTAAAATCTATACTAGGTAATTTAATAGTTATTTAAATTCTGACTACATAGATTTTTAAGAAATTCGTTTAGATTCTGTGATCTAATTTTTTAGTTTTTCTAAACTATGACATATTAGATACAGATATCCTGTGATATTTATTCCCTTTCTTTTAGGTACAGAAATCCTAATAACTGAATTCTTGTCTAGAATTAATGTAAACAATACTAGTGAGTAATACTGATGAATACCAAAGACAAACAAATAATAGGTTTAGAACTGAAATTTAACTTTGCTATGCAGAAAATTCAAGAACTTATTCTTTTTTATCATGAAAAATATTGTAATTCTTATACCTGGAAATAGTTGAAAGAATCATATAACCTTTAATATTAAGTAAATTGTTTCCTCTGCTTTTCTTTAATGGAGGATTCGAGCTATTACAGTTTATAAAGACCAGAGCAATGCTGTAACAATTCTGAATGGAAAATATTTAAAAAATCTGTTTCGAAAAAAGTGAAACGTTTCGTCCTACCTCCAGAGGCATACCGAGAAGGGAATGGGCGGTGGATCTTCCCAGGTTTTCTGATCACGGAGAACCACCGAAGAACCTTAAGCTTTTCATTACCATATGCTTTATATGTAGGAGTATATAAAAGGAAGAAGCGAAAAAGTGGTCTGAACTGAAAATGTTAAAGTTTATTGTGGAAATGGAATTTCAAGAATAAGTCTCTAATTTATACTTAAATTGTACGTTTTTGATGCCGCCCAAAAAAAGTTTTAGTTCTTTTGGCTTAATCCTATTATCCGGTGCACACGGGATTTGGCTACTTTATTGACAGAAAACTTTAAAACGTTTATTTAAAATCATCTGAAACAGCATATTAATAAACGTTTATAAATATATGTTTGTCTGCCAGATGTAAGCTGTTTTTTTATTATTAGTCCAAAGGGGCAATTTGCCCTGAAGGACTATTAATTTCGTTTTGGCATTTTGCGTTGAAAACTTTAAAAAGCTGTAACACTTTTCAAATCGTTTCCACCATGTATTATCGCTTTGTCTTATATTTAAATAAATTAAATAATGAAGAATAATTGTGATAAAACAACTGTACCTAGAGCCATCAAAATTTGAATAACGCAATCTTCTATAGAATTTGGGCATGTGGAAGCCCTAATCTGAATTTGAAATTTTTTTTTATTATCGATTTCATATTTTGTATCACTTCAACGAGTTTTTGATTAAAAAACTAAAAGATTTCAAAACGAGCAATGACAACACTGTACGGAAAAAAAAAAAAAAAAAAAAGTTTTATCTCCAGCGCGCGAGACTCTGTATCGGAAATTCTAAAGATATGCTCATTTTAAAATTAATTTGCGATATTGCTGTTGAACTGAATTTTATAGTTTGAGTACGTAGAACATGATATTTGATAAATAAAGTTAATACACAAAACGTTAAAAAAACGCCCCTTTGGACGTAATTTAAAATTTGTCTTCTTTTTTAAAATTTTTTTAATGTTCCACATTTTTTAAAATACTTAATTTTAATTAAATAAATGTTAATTATATAGTTGGGTTAACATTTTACATGGTGGTCATGGTACAATTAAGGGACTATCAGGGAGATTTCCACACGTGCCTCGATAGCCACTGCCTACCTCTATTAATCTTGGTTTGTTTTATTTCTCTTATCTAATGTTACATATTTATTGCAATTAAATTATTTACTATAAGTATATAAAAGAAATGTTATTTTGGATTAAATAGTAATTAATTTCCTTAAATAAATCATGATAAGGACTACATTTCTTGTATTGAATAAAATAATATTATAATACACTAAAGAAATGAACGTGATTCTCGCTCAAAGACCACGTTGTCCAAGTTTTTCTAATTTTCATTCATACATCTCATAAATAAAACTGTATTAGACTGAATTATTCATAATACATCTCATAAATAAAACTGTATTAGACTGAATTATAAATCAAGTATAGTTAATCAGATAATCCGAGAAAAAGAATAAAGAATAAATTAACCCTAGCAAGCAAAACCATATATATGTGACCTTCAGAATTCTAAAAATTTTAACAGAAACTTTTATCGCAAGACTTGCCAGGAAAAAGATATCAGGCGACTGCAAACGTACGATCGCCAAAGATCCCATGATCATTTTATTTCCAACAATTTTGGTTTGCATTATTTCTCTTATCTGAAAATTTATTGATATTAAATTATTTACTGTAAGCGTATAAAAAGAATGTTATTACCGATGAAATATTAATTATTTACTTTGCATATTTCATGACAATAACTACATTATTTATACTGAATTCTTTTGAAGAATGAAAGATAGTCTGTTCCAGAAATTAATAAATTATAATAACGTAAAGATCATTTGACACTTAATAGAATATTCGATTGCAGATATTACTTACATTTGTTATTGCCTATTACTACTGAACAGCTAAACTTTCTATTAACAGTACATAACGTAAAATATCAAGCTCTAGCTAAGATAGAAGTGCTCAATTGAATTAATCATGTAACAATAGTTTTAAAAAGGTCTAATAATTTTAAAATTGGATTTATCTAAGTTCTACGATAGAACTAGATAATTAGCTAATAGTAAAAGTGGGGATGAACTTTATTACCGTAATAAACAGCTAATATAAAATCAGTCTGTAAAAACGAAACAGATAATATTTTATCTTGCACAATATTAATCATCGAGGCATAAGTAATAAAATATTGCTTAGGTAATGCTGTAATAGAACGGAATTAGCGAAAATTTAAACTTTATTTATCAAGTGATATCAAATGAAAAGATTCGTGCATTCAACAGATGAAGGAATGTTTTGCATTCTTCAGAAGCAAAATATTTTCTTGACTTTAACATCTGCCTTGGAGGGAAAATCTCAAATATATCAACTGCAATTGTTCTAACACGAAAGAAAAAACTGCTGGCTTTCTTCAAGAATAATATATAAGTTACAATTAATATTTATAATGAAAACCTTTTAATTAACTCATGAAATAAACTAAATTCATGCAATTCAATAAATTAAATCATAGCCCTCATAAAGATGAATGAATCTTGAATGTATGAAGTATTCTACTGTAACGATTTTACTTAAAATGCTATAAGAAGAGTTTATTTTAAATGTTGAAATTTTGTAAAATATTTTGAAATTTTTTAAGGCTCTAAGTTTTAAAATATGTAACTGCGGTATTGAACGCGCGAAATTTAGCGCAAGCCGTTAACCAATGCTGTTGTTAAATCAAGCAAAGTATCCTTGATGGTCTAAATGGAAGATATTTTCGGTTTAAAATAATTTTGCTTTAATTTAAGTTGTAAGGTATTTTCTACCTCGTTTTCCGCATGACTTCGTAGTGTAATTGGTAGCATACTCGATATGTAATCGAGAGGTCCAGAGTTTGAATCCCGGCAACGACATTGCACTTTTTTTCAAGTCTCCTGCTTTAAAAAAAATAATGCCAATTAATTTTGTCTGGCCTCTGTTCCGTGACAAACAAATCACAAAATTCAAACTATACGCTGGATTCCAGCCTACATCCATTAGTGCAGTAGCTGCCTTTTCTAACCAGCAAACATATAAGGAGGATTTTCTTAAAAAATATTCAGATTTGTAATATTTAACCTCGACATAACTACTAATTACCTTTCAGTGATATTTATACTGTAAAAACTTCACTGTCAAGATAATCCATATTAAATAGAAGTAAACTATTCTGTAACAAAAACAAAATTTTTCCTAAGTTCTCTATAAATATAGAATATTAGCTCAGTAGCAAACTGAAAGGGGTTACCTTAAGAGTCCTTTAAAGTCCTTAAAATTTTTAAATCGATTTTTGGTCTTTAAAAGTCCTTAACTTCGGCCCAAATCGTCAGAAGGTCCTTAATTTTAATCATCTGAAATTTCGGTCTTGTTTTTACAACTGCTCTTTTGAGTGTGAATTATCATTTTGGAGGAATATTTTTGGCGATTCACTGATAAATAGGATTGGTAAAAAGGGTAGGGTACTTGGAGTTTCTGAGCAAGAAGGGAAACATAAGCATTTCAAAATTATTTCATTTTTTTTTTCTAATGAAGAGCTCTTAAACAACTTTACGCTATTGTGGATGTGAATTCTTTTATAAAACGGCTCGAAATTTAGTGACTTATCAGCATTTTGGCGATTTTAATATCACTTTCTTTAGAAAATTTTTAATTCGGAGATCTAGGAATTTTTGGTCGATATTTTTTAAAAATCATTATGACATTGATAAATTTAACTAAATTAATGGTAACATGTTGAAATTATATTTAGGAAATAAAATTAAA